TGAAACCAGCGGACTTCCCTGGATTAGCTCTTGGGAGTAGGGCAAGATGAAGTGCTAATAAATAGTAACCTCAAAAGTGTAAACGAACCCTGCGTAAATAAGCTAATACAGATAAAAACGAATGCGACAACAGCACAGATGATAGCCCCAATAAGCAATTTCATGAAATGGCTTGGCATATTGGTTAGATGCTGAGAGAAGGTTACCGAATGATTTGCGTGAACAAAAGTCTTATCGTCACTTAAAAAAATCCCCAGACCGCCCAATCATGGTGAATCTCGGTGTAGCGTAGTGATAACATGACCATGCAAACCTTTTATGACCCGTCTGGAACGATTTCCCAATTTTCAAAAATCAAGGAGAACGTTTCAAAACATGCTTCAAACTCCCACGAATTTAGGACAGACTACGTATACGTTTTTGGCCCTATCCTGCCAAAATTCCAAATTTCGTGGGCCAATGGCTCTCTAACAGGCTCAATTACTTACTTGCATATATTGCATTTTCAAATTTCAGACAGCCAAAACCTTTTCCTCAATGTGACCGACTTTTCGAGCTTTTTGGAGAATTATATTAGAACTTTACAAAATCACGTATACTCAGGAAAACAAGTACGCTTTGAGCACTAATTTATCAGAACTTCGAATTTTTAGACTCCTAAGTCTTCAAACGGACTCCAAAAGTCCAGAAACAGCAAAAAAACGATTTTTTGGCTTATGATTTTTCCAGGCTTTTCTCAGCCTGATTCCTCTTCAGACTTGACACCGGCTCTTCAAGTGAACGAACGTCTTCGAAACTTCACCGCTCGAGCAAAACTGGTAAAATACTCATCCCTATTACCTATCCCTATGTGAGTAACTGTTCAAGCTGAAGAACATAAAGGTGGGGGGGGGGGGGGGGGGGGGGCGGATCTTGGTAGAACTTCCATTAAGCGAAAGCGCGATTCTCCTACAGTTGGGCGTAAGTTTGCTTGCAAAAACGGAGGCAGTTCTAGAGGCAGATGTGCCAACAATGAAAAATATTGCGATCGTAAACTGTCTCATGGCTTTTTAGTTTGCTATAGTTTGCCGATTAGCGCTAAGCCCTGTTCAGGATATCGGTCAAAGATTGCGATCAACGGCTAAAACCGTAGCTGAACACACAGTGATTCTTTATAGCGTCATTGTCCTCTCAAGGCTTTCAATGTGCCAGCAAATATGAGTCAGTCGAACTTTACTGCGAAAGCTTCTTTTCAAAGAAAACTTCCGAAGCACACAGCGGAAATATGCAGATGGTGGATGTTACTCCTGTGACGAAATCTTCTTTCATAAATGACAAAGAAAAGCTACTACTTAATGCGTGCTTCTTCACTCGTACTTTTCAGTCATATCTCCTTCCCTACTGGATCTGATCAAGCGAAATTTCAATATGTGTACCATTGGTGTAGTGTGAACATTTATCACCATTAAGCTGCAATCTGATCATGTTCCAGGTATCCAAAAGGGCTTGAATAGAAAATCAACTGGAAATACGAATGATGGTCCATCTAGGAGTCCTTTCCTTTTTGCCATGTCTTAAGTGTACGAGCACTAATGTCGAACCCAAAAGAGAAGAAAAACGTACATAAGGTCGGACTACTGCAGACGTCACAAACTTGCTTTCAGCACAGTCTACAAACGCCTCCCCATTAGTATGTGAATATGGCTGTTTTGTAGTCAAATAGTG